GTGTGAAAGTACCTCCCAAAATGGAATTTGTCACATGAATATGTCAGCAAACTATGCATGATTTAGTCCAGGGCTACTCAACCTGGGGGCCACAATGATACAGCACATGCTGAGGGCCGCAACTTCAGTGTGGTTGCATATACAGGCAAATATATACACAAATATATGAAAATAGCTTCTTTCATGCTGATGGACATGAATACTAAGCACTTCCCACAATGCCCCAGTGCTCCCAGCACTTCCTCCCTCGGGGTTAGGAACACCGACACCCTGTACCCGTCTGTTCCTTCTCAAGTCCCCCCTGCTCCTGCTCCTCCAGCTTCTCCCCTTAGCCCCAACCCCATGGCTGCTGAGAGCCCCGCACATTAGGCGGTGGGACCACCCGAGGCAGGCACCAGGCCCAGCCTCATCCCTGAGCACCATTTCCTACTTTCTTCCCCTTCCACCTCCCGCCTCCTCCCCCCAGGTTCTTTCTCCAGTCCCTCCCATTATATTTATCCCAGTTAAAAATTACAGAGTTTATTATCCCAAAACAAAAAGTCCTGTTTATTTTACCAGCAGGGGAAAGGAGAGATGTGGGAGGAAGGGAACTCTGGGCACTGCAGAGGTCCCTTGTGGGGAGTCACGGGGGAAGAGTCTCACCGGTGTACTTGTCTGAAACTCTCCCTTAGGGTGTCTCAGATGTGCACAGCCCCCTGCTGGGTCTGCCGAGCTGGTCGGCCTCTACTCCCCATCCTTTCAAAAACGTCTTCCCCTTATTTTCACAAATATTGTGGAGGACACAGCGGAACCTCCCCTTCGAATGCTCAAAGGCACCCTCCACCACAACGCAGGCTCTGCTGAGCCTGCTGTTGAAACGTTTCTTGCTTTGGTCAAGATGTCCTGTGAAGGACTTCATTAGGAGCAAAAGGTAGGCTGCACCCCTCACGATGCACATTGGCATGTCCACGTCCCTGACCCTGATTGTGTGGTTGGGGAAAAAAGTGCCAGTGTGCATCTTCTGGTAGGGGCTGGAGTTGTGGAAAGTGGGCATTGAGCGTCTTCCTTTTCCTGAGGAGCCATGAGGGCAGCCTACCTGATGCTGATGTCGGTGAATCAGCCTCGGTGGTTCACGAAGGCCTGCAGCATGATTGACAAATACCCCTTCTGGATGATATAATCAGAAGCCTGGTGGTCAGGGGGCCTGGATGGGAATGTAGGTGCCATCAATGCCCCCCCTCTCCCACAGCTGGGGAATCCTATGGTGGCAAAGCTGGCGACGATGGAGTCCATGTGGCCCAGAATGATGAACCTGAACAGCAGGATGGTGTTAATGGCCCTCACCACTGGAGAAGGAGACAGAGAATCACAGGGTTGTCAGAGCCCTTGAGAGGTCCCCAAGCCCAACTCCCCTTTTCCCACACCAGGACCAACCCCCTACTTATCCCATCCCCTGGCAGGGGTTTGTGAAGGCAGGACTGAAAAACCTTCCAGGGAGGGAGCTTCCCCACCACATCTTTCCTAGGGAACCCCATTCCAGCAGTTCACCACCCTCCTAGGACAATCGTAAGGATCATACCTGCATAAGCACAGCCCCGATGGTTGATCTCCCCATGTCGAACTGGTTCTCATAGGAGTGGTAGCTATGCTGCTTGGTGAGTTTCTAAAGTGCAATGGCGACCTTCTTCTGGAGAGGGATGGAAGGTCTCATGTGGGTGGCACCTGAGGACGGGGCGAGCCACTGACACAGCTAGAGGAAGGTGTCCTGCCACATGCGGAAGTTCTGGAGCCACTGCTGTTCATCCCACCGCTCCATGATGATTCAGTCCCACCAGACAGAACTGGTGTCCAGTCACCAGAAGCGGTGGTGCATGGTGTGCAAGGGAAGGGGCTATGCTGCATGAGCAGAATGTGGAGAGACGAGAGGAGGTGCCCCACCAGGAGCAGTGGGTCCTGTTCCTGCAGAGCCATGAGGGTAGCCTACAGTAATTATATCAGGAGGTGTGGCAGCAGGTCTAAGAGTCAGAGACTGTTTTCCAGCTCTATGGCTGGAGTGCTGTGGCATCCGCAAGAGCAACCAGAGCACAGAGTGAGATGAGTTTGCTGTCCCTCAAGGAGATAGGCCAAGGTGAAAAGCCTGAGACACGACTGTACAAATGGGTCCCTTTAAGTACAAGCTTCATCTAGCCTCAGGCAGCAGCTATAGGAAGTGACTGCTGTCCTGATGCCCCGCCCGAAGAGCTTCCAGGGGGCCTTCAATGCAATTCAGTCTCCAATCAGTGTGGACGCTTTATTTGAAAATAGGTCTGTGCTAGTTTGATGGGCATTTATAGTGTGGATGTGCTATTTCGAAATAACCTATTTCAGAGTTTTTATTCCAGAATAGCTTATTTCAAAATAAATGTGTAGTGTAGATGAACCCCAGGGTGCTACAGGTCCATTCTTGTTTTTTAGACTATTTTCATTTTCCTGCAAATTCTAATCACCATTAGGTTTACACAAAGATGTACTTACATTTATGAATAATGTTCTGAGACCTCTGAGTTTCTCCAGTCAGACCAAACATTTGACATAAAAGAGCTTTCTGAAGTTAATGGAAAAAAGTGCTGCAAAGAACCCCACATCAAACAAAAAGTTTTCTCTTCTATTTTTCTCATTTTTCCCCAGTAAAAGTTTTATTTTCCTTTTACATAGCCTTTCTTCTTGAAGTCTCTTCATAGGTACATTGAACCAACCCATGTTAGAAAATAGCATACCAGAACAACTCAACTTCCCCATCTACTGAATTCTGCCTCTGCCACAACCTGTACTTTTAAAATTCTCTTCTAAAAGAGGATTCAGCTACTATTCCTGTCTGAAGTATGTGTGCCTTAAGGTACTGTTGGTATTATTCCCTGACTTTTATGATAATTCACTTTTTGTAAATAAATGTAAAGGGGGAAAACATCCAATATACATACGTGAATGCATAAATTCCTTTATTGAAAATATTGCGATAGCATTGCATTACATATATTCAATATTCATAGATTAAAGTGTAAAGGGTCACAGAAGTTTGAATGAACAACACTGCTGAATATAGAACACAGCATTTAGATATGCTCTGACAAGTATAGAATAATGGAATAAATGGTAGGTAAATAAGAGATACATATGTAAAATGGCAAACTTTTTGCTTGTAATTAGTGAGTGGTATGCAACTGGCCAAAATGGCAGACATCATTAGTTATTCCTAGACTCTCTCAAACTACTATGCTATTAACAATTTCTAAAATATCTTACAGTTAAATCCATCAGACTTTTTATGGTGAGTATATCAAGTGGAAGAAAACAGTGTTAACAGCTTACATGCACTGTGTTATAGACTTATTTTTACAGCGTCAGTTTTTAACTGCATGGAACCTCTATGTGGACTTAAGATTGACTTATACTTTTGAAAGAAAAACACTTGGCAGCTAAGTTGTTCCCTTTTATTTCTGAAAGATGGGAAAAGAGGGTGAAGAATAGTAACTATTTGAAATTATACTACTTTAGTGGAATATTCCAAGTGTATTCAGTGTTTTTTTAAATGGAAGCGTAACACCATTTTTAAAACCTGACTTCTTTTAAAGTAATTAACTGGATTCAATATGACATGGTTACATTTTGCTTTGAACTCTAAAGTAGGACAATATTCCTTTCCTACTAACAGAGTTTATCATTGAAACAACTTTTTTAAAAACAACCACAAATCAGAATGGGTCATATACCATAAAGAAGCAAGTATTTTCCTGTTTCCTTCAGTTACCTTTCGTACCTATGGATGTTTTCATAGCACTAACTTGATTAGAGTTCATTGCTGCCTTTTGCAAATGTCCCTCAAAAGAAAAAAATTCTGGTCTGGATTTAAATGCCACTTCATTAAACCAAAAGAAATAATTAGTTACTTGTTAAAGCATAAAATCAGCCTGTTGGTTCAAGACTTTCAGGAAGGAAACCAAATATAAATTACCAAGGAAACGTATTACATCAACATAATATGACCTGTTTGGGAAAGAACATTCCTTCCCACTTTACACATTATATTTTTTCAGCCATAAAAAAACCAAACCCCAAGATTTTCTTAAAAATAATAATAATAATAATAATAATAATAATAGATAAAAAAACAACAAAAAACACCCCAAAAAACAGTAGGGTTAGACTAATGGAACAGCGAGCTTTCAGTACAACCACCTAAAGTGTGTGAATAACAAACTGTGTTTCTTTTCAGACATTTTCTTAGTAAGGAGTATAAACATGCCAGGGCAGAGCCTCAGCTTATGTAAACTGTCATAGCTCAAATGACGTCAACCTATGACAAGTTAGTTAACCTAGCTAAGAATGTGCCCTGCTGTCCTACATTTTGCTGAAACAATAGAAATATGACAGCGGAATCAATAATGGATGCTGAAAGACCCATCTCTCTCCTACCATCAACAAGAAATCCAGAATTATGCACTCAGTGTTTCTGCCAAACAACAAAACAAAAAAACCCAAACACCCCAAAACTGGGGAAACAACAAAACAGAAACAAAGTTTCATTTACAAAATAAAAAAATTATAAAATTAACTTTAGAAATCAAATGGATTTGTTGCCAGCACATATGAAAACCACCTCAATAGTATTTTTCTGTTATATTCTGAGGTTTTAAACATTAAAAAATACCTAATACATTTTAAACAAATGTACTATACAATAAACAATAAATTAAAAGATTTAAAACACATGTTCCGTTTAAGTGCTGTGTTCATCTATTACTTCAGATGATTATTATTTTCATGGCAAACAGTTTGTAGAGTTTTTTTTTGGTTAGCACTTATATGTAATATAAATACCATGGAATGTATTACGTTCCCCCACAGTATTTTTTCACAGTTACACAAAATAAAAAAAAAAAAACTGCTTTAAACAAATTCATACACAATTAATGTCTTCATAAGCATCTTGTTTCCTTTTTGAAGGACTGTTGGAGGGAAGAGAGTAAAAGCACTAACACAGACTGGTCTGCTTATTGTTTTCTCCATTTTTGCCTCTTAAAATTGGGCTTCAGAACATTTCAATGTGTATTCATGCTCTGCATGTTACCAGAAAGAAAGTGTTATATTGTGAGGCAGCCTGTGCTGGAGATTTAACTTTCAGTATCCTCAATTAACCCAGTCAATTAGGCAGTCTGTTTTTCACTCAAATGTCCATACTTCCACATCTTGTATTATGAAATCTTCTTTCTTGGATAGGATGTCATTATTGAAGGTGCTGCAGGAGTTGCTTCTCCCATGATACAGATCAGAATCTAGCCATAAACCAAATCGACCACTAAAAAAAAAGAAAAAAAATGTTAAAGTTATTATTTATAGCAGCTAAGCCCACATCTTTGTTAGCTGGAAATTAAACAAAACCCCTGCAACTTAGCAATTATTCTATCAACAATAGTTGATAAATTTTCACTTGCGCCTAAAATTAAGGTCCTGATCTATCAAAGAACTTAAAACATATCCTAAATTTTAAGCTTGTAAGTAGCTCCATTGACTTCAAAGTTTAAGTAATTTGCTAAATTAGGAACAAAACCCAGATCCAATCAAATGAAATTTGCAGTGGTTACATGGCTACCCACTTACCCACATTATCCCCTCTTCACATACATGAAATAATGGACAATGTTTGCTACACTCTGTTAGCAGGAGAGCTTCATTAACTGGTAATGCCTCTCTCTGCAGGTCATTACTAAGTGCAAAATATTAGCTGCCTAAGTTGCAGATATTTGATTTCTTGTAAGGGAAGTCAGTGTCTCCAGTACCCTTCTAATAAGACCCTGAAACTGCCTGAAGTCATCAACCATGGATGGTGGTGGAGACATAAGTCACGTCATAGGTGATGACGATCAAATGGGTGTGTCTCAGGGTAACATCCTCATCTGCCTTTGTCTCCTGCTCTTCAAATGTCTCCTCCTGTTGTGGATGGATACATATCCCTAAGAGGCATTCCTTGTGGTCTGTGAAACTGTTGTCAATACACAGCCCATGTGTCCCAACCTGGCACTGATGGAGCCCCGTTAGAAAATGGGAGTGGTATAGACAACTGGTTTCATCTTTCTTAGTGACCAGCAAAGTTTTCCCTATGCAAAGGCAGATTCCCAAAGCAGTATGCCGGAGAATTCATCAATTTCAAGGAGACTAGGAGTCCTTTCCTCCATATCCTACCATTGGCAGGCAGCCCCTGAGGATGGAGGAGATCCCTGTACAGGCAGTCCCCGAGTTACGTGGATCCGACTTGTGTCAGATCCCTACATACGAACAGGGCTTTCTAGCCGCGGAGGACGGGGGCGGCGGGACTGCCCAGATGCGCCGCAGTCCCGCCGCCCACGTCCTCCACGGCGAGAAAAGCTGCTCCACATCTCCCTGGTCTGCTGGGGGAGGCGCAGCTAGTGCACTCCCCTCCCCCCAGCAGACCAGGCTTTTCTCACAGGTGGTCAGTTTCAGCAACACCTGAATCAGGACGCCTGGGGTAGTGCAGCTGGGGGGCGGCCGAGCAGATCTGCCTCGGGCTTCCTGTAGTCAGCCGCTGGTCAGTTTCAACAGCGGCTGAATCTGGACGCCAGTTCCGACTTACATACAGATTCAACTTAAGAACAAACCTACAGTCCCTATCTTGTACGTAACCCGGGGACTGCCTGTACTGCAGAATGACCTCTTGGAGATGCTTCGTACATATCAGCCATGGGGACTCAGAGGTTCATCTGACACAGAAGTCCTTTGAATACCGAAATTCCTGTAGTACCAGAAAGGACCCTGGCATCGATGCTGTTGCCAACAATTCTGCAGCTGATGCTATCAACCATGATGGGTGGACAGGATATATTATAGATGTCAGGTGCTGATGCTTGCTTGGTAGTGAGGGTACCACTTATACAGACAACCCCGACAAAGCTGCTTGCAATGGGAATGATGATTGGGTTAAGGTGTGTGACAGCAACAGTAGCTGAAAAGAATGCTTCACTGCTAATGGCAAGGCAGAACTCAATGGCATCATGTGCATACAGGTGCCCCATCAGATCTATGCTTCCAGTCCTTGGATCTAACTACAACTCTCTGTGCAAAACAAAGAGAAGGCCAAGTATGTGCTAGGCAGACACGCTAGGATTCTATAATGCAGAGGCAGTAGAGGAGGAATTGAGAGTGATTTGCAGGTGCATGCCTATGTCGCCATAGAGTCTGCCAAAAAGAGGCGTAGGGTGCATGTGCAGGCCAAATGGACACTGCTGACTAGAAATTTCTAATCATGGCTTTGAGAGGCATATGTGCTCCTAATGTAGAATGCTCATAAGGACACTATTCAGAAAAAAAAATGTATCAATCTACTGTACAAACCAGTTTTCCTTGCACACTTATGTAATAACATCCCTTTTCACCCAACGGGTAGTATTTCAAAACCAAAATCCATACACTTACCCACCACCTCCAAGTTCTAGAGAGCTGATATCTCCATTGATAAAGTAGGTGTTTTCTCCAGACCACTTAAAAACCTGAAGAAGCAAATATGATCATCAGGAATCTAATACACTAAAAAAAGTAAGCTAGGGAATTATTCTGAGTAATTTAATGTGTGTGTCAGGGAGAAAAAAAAGCAGCATGATTCATATCTAAAAAAGGCACAGATATAGACTGCTTTAAATTTTACTTGTGTGTGCAATCAACACACCTTTCCTTTTTAGAGAGAAACTTTTTAATATCTTCAATATTTCAATGCAGTGTTTTAGGACTGTCTCACAGTTGCCCCTACTCTAGTTTTCTTGTCACTACAGTCTTAAGTTCTACGTGAAATGAACTGCTTCTGTTGCTAGCCCCCTCTTTGCTTTTATTTCATGGTTAATTCATTATATTTTCCCCACATAATCAACCTGCAAACTTCTTCTCAACCTCATGGAAGAAACTGGTCCAGCTCTTTTAATCACCTTTGCCTCAAGTATTATAGTTTGGTAGCACTGAATGAATAGTTTAATGATTAGCTCCACTCACAAGCAGTCTGTCATACACTTTCCAATGAATGCTTTCTGAGGAGTCAATGTTTTTCTTCTCTAACCAACAGAGCTGGTCCAATAAAAGATTATTACCTCTCCCAACTTGTCTCTCTAATGTCCTGAAACCAATATGGCTATTTCAACATTGCAAAAGGCTGTCTTGATAGTATGCTGTATCAGTAATGTTTTATCAAGCATGTTTCACAAGTGGAGCTCCCCATAGCCTTGAGTCCCCTCCCCCAATGAGTTACCTTGAAGTTTGGACTAAACGTGTAGAGGAAAGTTTCGCCCGTGCCATAATAGTGGTCACTAAATCTGAAAGGGTGTGTTGCATATGCTCCAAATATCTGTCAAAACAAAAATGGTTGCGTTATACTTGAAGACAATTAGCAAAATTCAAATGGAGAAAGGACTTTCAAAAATAATTTCTGACAAATAACTGCACTGGTGTTTTAGGTAATAACGGCTAATTAGTAAAATTCAGTAAAAATTGCTGATTTGGTGTCTGGGTTGTACACACCCCTTTTTAGTTTTAAAAACCTCATAGCTCTAGATATGGGGATTCTAGAAGCTACCTGAATACTTCACACCAGTTCCAATAATGCTTTGCCAGCTCTCTGCTATGTTACGACAAATTGGTAACTGAATCTGGTTAGTGATTGGGATGGATGCTTGTGAGAACACTATTACATTTTCTATGGAGCATGCTTTGCAACTGTGAATGCTGTAGAGATTTTACCTCTTTTAGTGCTAGTATTTTCCTGGGTTTGATTTTAAGGATTATATACTAATTTAACAGTAGTAAGCATAGTGTAAAATATATCTCAACTTATTTTAATTTATGCTATTGCACATCATTGAATTTGGCAGAAAACTGCTGCTTTGCTAACAAGCATACCTATGTGAAGGCTTTACTGCAAATGATAAAAACACTTATGTTTAATCTATTTACAAATCTTAACATCTTCTACAATGGGTCATCCAAATCAAATAAATGCATTATATTCAAGTCCTAACCTGGTTGTCCATATCTTTGATGACAAGGAGGACTGGACAGTCAAGAGACGCTGATTTCCTATACAGAGTTTTCAGACTGGTTCCATGTTCCAATGTGCTATATGCAAGCCGCCATGGATATCCCTGCACTCTTGCTGGCAAACAGCGGGCAAGCTAGAAGTGAAAGAAAAGAATGGTGTAAGCATTTAATTATACATAATTTCTTTCTCCATCTCATATTGACAGCCAGGAGATCATTGTAAAGAGTTGTGCCTGACACCTAGACATTAAAGAGATGAGTATTAACTGCGATTGATCAACAGACAAGTAAACTCACACAATTATCTCAAAATTAATAGTGATTTAAAAATTAATTGTGATTAATCGCACTGTTAAACAATAGAATACTAACTGAAATTTATTCAATTTTTTTGATGTTTTCCTACTTTTTCAAATATATTGATTTGTTACAACAAAGAATACGAAGTGTACAGTGCACACTTCAAATATTTAATTATTTATATTTGCACTTTAAAATTATAAAATAGTATTTTTCAGTTTACCTCATACAAATACTGAAGTTCAATCAATCATAAAAGCATAGCTTACAAATGTATATTTTCTGTTACATAACAGCATTCAAAAACAAATCAATATAAAATAGAGCCTACAAGTCCACTCATGACTAATTTTTAAAATTGTGCAAATAATCATAACATTTTTTTAATCGCTTGACAGCCTGTGTGTTTACAATGCATTCAAAATAAAGAGATGAAGCAGTCAGAAATTTCAAGTTGCTAAAGTGTGGCATTATAACTGCTAATATAACCATTCTACTATCAGCGGGGAAGAAAACTAGACTGTAGGAAGCAAACAAATCAGAAATCCATTATACCTGTTCTATGTGCATATTCTCTAGAAGCGCACTGTGGTGCTTTAGGACAGGCAAAGAGTCATCTTCTTCCTCACAGTAACTGCAAATGCTCTTTCGACGTTTTGCCTCTTCTACAGTAATAATCTGAGACACAAGAACTCAAGTATTATAAATGCGAGTGAATTTCTGGGTTTTCATTCATCTGAAACTTGAAAAAGCATGATTAGACTAATGGGCTTAAATGAGTATACAGGCCCAGAAAGTGAATATATCCTACCTATGCAGGATCACTCAGTGTAAGAGGATACATACAATGTAACATAACGAATAAAAGAAATGCTCTTTACCGTCTCCCACAATACAAAACTCAGGGATTACCTGATGAAATTAAATAGGCAGCAGATTCAATACAAACAAAAAGAAGTACTTTTTCCCCACTCACACCACAATTAATCTGTGGAACCCCTGTCATGGGAAGAAGTGGTGGCCACAAAAATAACAGGGTTAAGAAAAAAGAACCGATCAAATTCACGGAAGATAGGTCCACCAATGGTAATTAACTGAGATGGCCAGGAATGCAACCAGTGTTCCCTCTAACATTTTCTATTCTTGGGCAGGTTGAATTTTCTTGTGTGTACCACCAATACTGAGGTAGTGTGTTGATGTACACCACCAATACAAACAAAACACCCAGTGTGTGTGTGTGTGTATATATGTGTGCGTGTGTGCGCACGCGCACACACACACACTCTCCATATATACATATTTTTTAAGCAGCCCATTTGCACGGAATAAAATATATTAAAACAAGACACTAGTGACTAGTTGCTGTGAGGTACACTTAGTGACTACAAAGATGCTGTACAAAGGTAGGGAATTAGCCTTCTTGCACTAGAAGAAGAGAAGAAGCCCCAGAACAAATTAACACATGGCTTCAGGGTTTGCAGACATTTGCATGTTTCAAAGAGCTTGCAAAACAAACTAGAATCATCCTACAAAACAACTAGAATCACTCCTAGTACTTGCTATTTCTAACTCATAAAAGCCAGAACTCTACCAGATAGTAAAGATCTGGCCTTAATGCAAACACAATTTACCATGTATTAATTAGTAACACAGGATTTAAAAAAATTATTAAGTTCAGAGTTTAGGTATCTGCAACACTCCAAAAATTTCTGTTTAAAGAATTAAAAAACAACAAATAGTCCTGCAACACATTAGGACTATTCGCTGTTTTTTAAATATTTTTACAGCTATAGACTTACACGGCTACCCCTCTGAAACTGTTAAAAGAATCTTTTTTTCCCCTCATCTTAAGACATTAACACCTGTATGCAAACTTAGCTTGAAATGTTAAGATGCAAATGTCTTTCTAGCATGCACACACACGGCTTTCCTTCCTTCCCTCCAAATCAGCCTAACAGTGAAGACTGCAGTGAGTCAGACACCCCAAACAAACCACCTACTGCCTCCACCACTGCACAGATGCCAACACTCAATCACTCCCTTTCCCCCACCTTACCACATGCAATCATTCCCATTACCACCCCCTTCCCAGCCCAGGACGATTGAAGAGGCTGTTGCGTTTTGGTCTCTCTGCGTATGTCTACATTGCATTCCTTTGAAAGAGAGGAATGCAAATGCAGACAAGCAAAATTGCAAATGAAGCGCAGATTTGAATTTCCCGCACTTCATTGCGTAATCACGTCCAGCCGCTGTTTCGAAATACCCCGTTTCGAGATTAATAACACCATGTAGACATGGTTATATTAATCTCGAAACGGGGTATTTCGAAACAGCGGCTGGACGTGATTACGCAATGAAGTGCGGGAAATTCAAATCTGCGCTTCATTTGCAATTTCGCTTGTCTGCATTTGCATTCCTCTCTCGAAGGAGGAATGCAATGTAGACATGCCCTCTGGCTCCTCTCTCCTCTCAAGCCAATTAATTACTCCCTCCCCACTCCCAGCCACTCATTCCCTGCTTATCTTGGCTGATTGTCTTCCATTTCAAGCATGCTCCAAGCAGCAGCAGAGGCCCTGTCCCTGCTGCTCAGCTGATCTCCCTGCCTGTGTGGTGAGCTTTGAGCCTCTGCACAGGGCTCAGAACGTAGTTACACAGTCGCTCAGCTGCACATCTTAGAGGAAACTTTGGATGTAATCCCATGCTTGAGGCAACCCTACACTCTAACTGCCAGAAACTGGGAGTGGAAGATGAAGTGGATCACTTCAAAATTACTCTTATCTCCCAGGAGCTCTGGAACAGTCACTGTCAAAAGGCAAGATGGACTAACTGGACTATTGGTCTGACCCAGTACAGCAGCTAGCACATACTTAGTCCAACATCAAAGGACTGCAGAGGCCACCTCCTCCTAACAGGCAACATGTGCACCTGGGGCACAGGGTGTGGGATGTTCTTAAATATGAAGGATATAGAAGACTAACTTCTTGCAGTTAGTCAAGCATAATGAACTCTTCTGTCAGATGTTAATGCAAAACACTGGTGTAAATAAGGCTATAAGTTTCATTTTCTATTATTACTAAAACAACAGCCATACCAAGAAACAAACTGAAATAAAACAACACACCAAAGAACCAAAAAAAGAAAGTTACATTTGAGCAAAACCTGGAAGAGGGCAAGCTCTGAACGAAACTATATGCTTAGTCAAGTATTTAGTCCCAAATTTTGTAAGTTCTTGTCTTTACAATAGTCATTTTGGGAAACTGAAGTTTGTTTCAATAAATTTTAAGAATGTATTCCAAAGTCAAAAATATCATGGTATTTAAAACAAAAGTCTATCTTTTCACTAGAGAAATCATCCAGTAATTCACTGGGAATGCAGAGAGAGGTAGGTTGCTGACAGGCTTTAAATCATTGTGCTACAACTTTAAACACAACCTGGAACTATATAAAAACTCACTCGTCAGATTCAGATTCAAATGTCCTTTTGTATCTTTGTATCTGATTTTTCAAAGGAAGCAGTTTTTAAGTGAGGTGAAAGTTGGTTGTGCCAGGGGCAGATGTCCATTTTGCGGGGCCCAGGGCAGCACAATTTCGCGGGGCCCCCCTTTGCCACGCTGCATGTGCGGTGGCGCCACGTGCATGCGCAGGGCTTCTTGAAGCGTGGGGCAGCCGCCCCGCTCGCCCTACCCTATATCCGCCCTTGGGTTGTGCACAAGACAAAGCAGACTCTTGAAAGTGATACAGAAAAGTAGAGAGCCACTGGTTTAAGGGATGTGGAATTTCTGCTTTTCCCTTTCTTTTCTCATTAACTGTGTTTTCCCTGAAATCTGTACTTTTTTACATTTTTATTTTTGAATATTTTATAAATGACTTCTCTCCTCCCACACTGTAATGAAAAACACATACACATTCACTATTGTCTCAAAGCTTTCCTAATGCCTTCAGATTTCAAAAAGATCTCACAGCAAGTCTACCAGCAATATATTTTTATAGGGATGTATAACTAAATGTGTTGAGGCAAGCAGCCGCAGGTGTTTTTTCTTAACATATTCATCATTAATTCCTATCAATCATGAATAAAAAAGTCAAGCCCCCTCCTACAACCCAAAGAGCAACAGAAATCCAATTCTTAATTAAGTTAATACAAGAAGACAGTCAATGAAGACAAACACTCCAAAAGTTCATCTACTTGCATCACATCAAATAAATTCAATATCTCAATGCTGAACTCAGACCAAACAGCAATAACATACAGGACTATGTAGCACTTTAAAGACTAACAAGATGGTTTATCAGAGGATAAGCTTTCGTCTGGCCCACGAAAGCTCATCATCTAATAAACCATCTTGTTAGTCTTTAAAGTGCTACATAGTCCTGTATTTTGTTTCAGCTACACCAGACTAACACAGCTACATTTCTATCACTTTTCAAACAGCAATAGTAAGAGCTGCATTACCAATCATTTGCAAGTCAGTTCATAAGGCATAAACATTAAAACCCACACAGAGATTTGAACTTCAAAAAGGTTTTTAAGTACTCTCATTCTGAAGTACACAGAAGCAAGCACCATTGTGGAGAAATATTCAGCTACAATGCATTTCAGTTTGCTGGTGCAGATCTAAAACACAGCACCACAGCATTGTACACAATCCACCATACCTGCACAAAAGGCTCCTGGTTAGGTCTGACACAGTAAACAATCTGAATATCCAAAGGTATTTGTCGCATTCTCATTGTTTCAAGACTTTTTTTCCCCCACTAATCAAACTTCTCTGCTGTTTCCTATGCTACTGAGTCTGCCACCGTGGGGATATTGCTTATATATGTCCCCGGTACAGTCTTACTTTCTGTTTCCTCAACAGCAAGTATAAGTTTCACAAAGGATCAACACCAAATTAGGGCTTCATTCAAAGCCATTTCCTTGTAGCTCCACCTTCATGTGTAAAAGCTGCACAGGTTTTTTTTAAAACTTTTGGAACCATTTCCAGCTGTTTTCTCATTACTACCAGCATGTATTTAAAATAAAACAATGAGAGTTCAGCATAGTAAAACAAGAACTAATCTGCAGCATGGAAGATTCAGGTTAGATATTAGAAAAAAAAAAATCTATATTGTTAAGTACTGGAATATATTACCAGTGAAGGTTGTGGAACCATCCTTGGAAGTTTAAGAATAGGGTGCTCCAACACTTCTCAGGGATGGGCTAGGACAGCAGATCTCAAACTATGAGTCCCAAGCAGTGTTCCCTGTAAACTGTGTGCTAAACTGTGTGCTTGTGCAGCCACTCAAGAGAAATTCAAATGCTGCCCAGCTGATGAATAGAGCCCCCCCAGCTCTATTTGTGTTTGTACTGGTGGTGCACATACACACATGCTTTGGTGAACATAAAAACATTTATTCTGCACATGGAAGGAAAAAATCTGCACATGGATGGAAATGATTAGAGGGAACATTTATCGTGACCCCATTTCATGGGGTTGTCAGGGTTGGCATTAAGTCTTGCTGGGACTCCTTCCCCACACCAATAGTGGTGGCACTTGGGCTTTGGCCCTCTCAGGGTGGCAGGGCTTGAGTTGGCTTAGGCTTCAGTCCTCCCTCCTGGGGCTGTGCTGTAATGGAGGGCATCTGGGAGGGTAGAAAGCTCGGGGGGAGGAGGAGTGTCAGTGCTTGCCCCTCTGCTGCTGCTGCTGAAGTGGAGCCCAGAAGCCAGTGGCATCAGAGGGGACGGCACTGACCTACCCTAGTCTGGCAAGTTCCCTGGTTCAGGACCGATCAAGTCCCTGAAGGTGCAGGACCAAGGAGGTACAAAGTGTAACAAGATGTAGTTTTTCAAGCCTGTTACTATTACAGTACAGAGAATCTTTTGCCAGTTAGCACTAAAGGGTTCTTAGGATCACAATAATAGAAATCAGATGCGAATGCTACAAATAGGTCCAGTGTTACCCTTAGCACCAAATCCACATGCCCATAGACCAGCACCGAGACCTCCTTAACTCTGTCCCAGTAATGCAAAACTCAAAATAAAACTGTGAAGCATAAGTGAACTGAATCTATTCAGTGCACAACTTTTACTGTGAGGTGTAAAACTTTAATATCTTATCTACCTTATTCTTTTTCATATGAACAGTATGAAAATTTGGCCTTTTACACAAGCATATACAATCATCCACAGATCAGAGATACAGCAGCAATTCTATAAAAGTATTCATTACTGGTTTAAAACACATGCCCGAGCAAGCACTATGCTAAACGACATTCTCCACCTTGAAACTTCACTGAAGCTGACCAATAAGTGCCTTTCTGCAACATTAACACTATTATACAATTGTGAAGTTTAAAACAATTGTTCTTTCACTAAAATATTCTTTTAAAACACTGTATGATAGTTTCAGTAAGTATTCGGATGATTTCTATTGATTCTGCTAAAATCAGAAAATTTCTAGCCTGGCCACTACCTGGGCCAGTAGAGGATAAAAGAAAATGAGAGCTATTGGGAGGACAGTAGGTTTGTTGGATAGCCACAAAACCTGAGAACATTTTAATACAAAGAGTAAGAGTCAAATGAGTAAAAAAGAAATACCAGAATGTTAGGAAAATTAAAAAGGTGGGTATTTAGATTCTCAATGGGTAATGCACATTCCTTGTAACACTCTTGAATCTCTGAAAACAGAAGGCACTCACCTCCCAGCTCTTAGTTGATGGCTCACTGAAAAAGTTGTCTATCATATCAAGCTCCTCCTTTTCCACCACTACGAAACCTTGCTCTTTGGCATCTTTCCCATACACTTCTGGTGACCACTGAACAAAAAATGTATACAGATGATCCACTCTGTGAAACAAGAGGAAATATGGTATTCAGTTTTCCAGAAATGACATACAGTACAGTATGCAAATTTTACATACTAACAGAGAATGAAAAAGTGTTTGTCTATATATTTCACACAAACTAATACATTGCACATTTACAGTTCCTTAAATCTGAGCTTCTTCAACAATTTTAAAATTTCACCTCATCTCACCCTTGTGTCGTTCCCCCCCCAATTTTAAACGAGGAAGCTGAGACATAGGTGGCTTACCTAAGGTTATACAAAAATTGCGTGTCATAGTCAAGGATACAATTTGTATCTCCCAGTCTTATTTATTCACAAAATATAAGGCCAGAAGAAATCAATCATTATGATCATTCAGAAAGACCTGCTATATAAAAACATTGGCCAAAAAAAAAAAAAAAAAAAAAAAAAAAAAAACCACTTTCACCCACCAATTTTCACATCAGACTCATTACTTATGGTTACACTATAGCATTACTTTTTCCATTAGAAAGACTTAACATCACTATCCTCCCTCCTTTGATCTCAGTGGAAAAGATCAGTTGTTGCTGCTTTTCTGAAATTGGCTATATAAAAACAAGCATCCAGAGGTAGGTAGAGAGCTAGTTCTTCACATCTTTCTTTGCTATTTATTAAACACACCTTCAAAATTATCATCAGGTATTAGTACAGTAATTCCTCATTTAACACATGTCCGCTTAACACATTTTCGCTTAACACATTTTTTGAATTACATGACTGTCCCCGGAATAACATGATTTCCCCAGCAGGCCTGTTGCCGGCAGCTGTGCGGGGCTTCCCCCACCTCCCTGCAAAGCGGAGGAGGGTTTGCCGCTCACCGCACTGTTCCTCACTGACTCCCCCTCACCAGACACCTTGCCCCCTTTCCATTGCCCCTGCTTGCAGGCCGGAGGCTGGGTTTCCCCAGCCGGCCTGTTGCCAGCAGCTGCTCGGTGTATTCCCCTGCCTCCCTGCAAAGAGGGGGAGGGTTCACTGCTCTCCGGCGACCCCCCCTCTTTCTGGACGCAGTACGGGTCCTGGCAGACCTGTCACAGGGGCATACTCCCAACCCAATCCCTCTCCCCCCCCTTCCCTTCCCCAGAGCCAAACATCTCCCTTCCCTGCTGTAACCCAGTCCTGTTTCTCCCCCAACCTTATGTCCCAGTCCCAACATACACCACGGCTTGAAACGCAGTCCCCACCTTTTCCATTATTTTCAATGGGAAAATTGACCCCGCATAATATGTTTTCACTTAACACGATCATTTTCTGAAACATATCTATAGTGTTAAATGAGGAATTGCTGTATATAAAAATGAGAAAGTTATTCAGTGACCTGTTTATACCAAAATGATATTCTTGTGATAGAACAGGCATAGTGCAACGAGAACACCCCCTTTCAATCTTTCCTGTCAGTAAGTGCACCTCTCTCCCGGGGCCTAAGCCTACTGGTGAAAGTCAAAGTCCTAACTAGAGAAAGTACCTATGAAGTTATAAATACTTAAACTACAAAAGAATATTGTCAACTAGCACAATATTTTATTAGCAATCTTGAGTACCCCTTGATACAGGTAAAAACTGAAAATAAGGGCCATATTTTATGTATTTTTCCTGGAAATGTATCAGAGATTAATACAAAAAGAACACAGATATGTTCAGATGTGTACACACACCTCAGAGCTTACGTATGTGGCTGTTGGTTTATTGTGTGTATCGTCTAAATTAATACACAGCCTGACTTCAAAAGGCAGCTTTACATACACAGGCTGAACCTCGCTCGTGCGGCACCCTGGGGACCTGACTGATCCCAAATGAGGGGATTTGCTGGACCAAGGAAGGTCCCTCCCCTCATGTCCCATGCTACCACTGGGACCTCAGAGCTTACGTATGTGGCTGTTGGTTTATTGTGTGTATCGTCTAAATTAATACACAGCCTGACTTCAAAAGGCAGCTTTACATACACAGGCTGAACCTCGCTCGTGCGGCACCCTGGGGACCTGACTGATCCCAAATGAGGGGATTTGCTGGACCAAGGAAGGTCCCTCCCCTCATGTCCCATGCTACCACTGGGC